CCCCCCCTGATCCCCCCCCCCCCCCCCCCCCGCCCCCCACCCCCACCCCTACCCTCACTTCCACTCTCATCGCTACCTTGACTACCATTCTGATCCCTGCCCCGATCACTCCTCATAGGCCTACCCCGACCCTCACCCTCACACCCACTCTCACCACTGGCCCGACCACGTTCCCCACCCCCACCTCGATCCTTGACCCCACCCATACCCCAAACTCTACCCTCAACCCTAACCTCACCCAAACTGCAGCATGGTTGAGTTTAATAGAGGTCGATGCTGCATCGATTGGCTAGGAGTTGATGGGGAGCATCTACCACATTCTGCTTATCAATAACACATAAGTTTTTTTAAGTTATTGACAATAATTCTTTTAATTTTTTTAATTGAATAGAAAACTAACCATTTGTTGTTTTCAGATTCTACCCATCCCTCAGACCCAACTCATTCACATCATTTGAGCACGCTGAACCATTTCAAGGTGATGAAATGATTGATAAAAAGTATTTAAGGAAGAGATAATCGAATGATTGATTATCATGCGACCAAGGAAAACTAAAACTCACTCAGTTAAAAGTTTAAATGACAGATTTAGTAGAAGCCATATATACAAGGTAAGGAGTACTTAAAAAATACTTCACCATTCAAAATCAGAGCTTTTCCTTGGAACACCAAAAAAATCTAAAATACCAACAGGACCATGGTCATGTCCAAAGGATTGTAGACACCTCTAGAATCTATTTAAAGAGTTAATCTAGGTTAGGAAACTTAAGAAGTTTATGGCCCCAAGGGCATCGACCCAGAGGCTGGGGAAGGCCTCAATAGAAGAAGAATTAGATGAACCCATTAGAGCCAAAACCATCCACATTACGGGGATTGTTCCAACAATTCTGAGAGGAGACTCAGTCAGGCAAGCCAACCATAGGAGGCTCCATACTTAGGATCTTTGTGCTGCTGCTATCGCTCTGAAGTAGAAGCCTCGTTCCATTATTATTTTTACTGACGTGGATTTGCCCCCAAAGAAGAATCTCTAAAATGACACAACTGTAGTCACGAAAAATATTAATAACTTCCTTGTGAGTATTATTTAGCTTGACACTGATAGCTCAGGCAATATCTGGTTCAAGTCCTTTGATAAAATGCACTTGTTAGTTGACCAACTAGTGTTGCTAACCAGTCCACTATATGGGTTTTTTCCAGATAAAAGAAACTCATTGGAATAATCGGGCTATATGTCACCTAGGAAGACAGTGACAACCAATTTACTAATATGAAAGTGTTAATGGTAGTTGGTGCACCTCCCAGTTATAATGTTATATTTAGTCAGCATCTACTCAGTGAATTCTATTTCATGGTTTCCATATACCATGTTGTCATAAAGTTTTCATGTGATGAAAAGATAGTTACCATTTCGGGAAGTTAAAAATAGCCTCAGAAGTGAGACCTCTAGGCTGTCAGGAATGTAAAACAAGTGTTATTCGACATTCATAAATAGCAAGAATAGGGTCTCAAGTCCGATAAAACTACTGAAGAGATTCCTGCAACCAATAAAGTGCTAAGTAAATTTTTCTAATCAATTAAGCTTTAATGTAGGGTACAAAGACTTGGTCTACACACTATGGGAGAGCATCAGAATGTTTTTTTTCTGGTTGACCATTGAAACTCCATAAATCCCAATTCACGTAGTGTGTCACCATCTAAACATCAATCTAGTATCTTGGTAAGTAAAGAGAAAGATGAGAACATCTGCTATGACATTAGCTGAGCCCATCCATGAAGAAGTGCAACAGACAAAAGAGGTGGGCTACATTCGAGAGGTACAATTTTTATCCTTGGTCTCTAATGTAGTCGTGGTCCAGAAGTCAAATAACAAATGGAGGATGTAGATGGACTTCATGACCCCGAGCATTGTTTGCCCAAAGAACAACTATCCCCTTCGCCTGCAACCCCAACCACCTAGAGGCTCCTTACAAGGGCTTCCGATCAAAACTAATCGACCAACCAACATTTTACTTTGGCATGCGCGATCGTCATTTGATGGGTCACCTCAGTTAGAGTCGATTGGTTGGTTGCTGTCATATTTAAAGTTAAATTGTCACACGGATTTGGTATGAAATCAACATAATTAATCGAATTAAGGGCAGTTTTCTTAAATGTTTCCTCCTTTCTGTAATCGTACAAATATACATTTATAAATATGAAGCAAAAAAGATGACTAAAAGGACTTTTTCTCAGTTTTACTACAGGAATTGGCCTAATTACTCTATGTCTCTCTATTCCTTATTCTCCTACTTCTAACTCTCAAGGCGTGTTCACAATAGACAACCTGAGATTTAACAATACTAAATAAAAAAAATTAAGATTGGCTCTATATAAAAAAAATCATCATTTAAATCAACTATTCACGTTTCCCGGGAAAGCTAAAATATAAAGACATTTCACCTCCCATTTTAGTCTCACATCAACGAAAAAATATTACATTAGTAGTACGCACGTAGAGTAACGTCCGTAGCCAATGAAATTACGCCACGATACCCCGCACGATACAGAAAAAAAAAACGGCGCAGTAACACGGGGAATATCTCCCCCCCCCTCCCCCCCCCCCCGCTTCTTTTTTTTTTTTTTTTTGTTTTT